CACACGACAAAGTCTGGTAGTGGACAACCTTTTCTTTTTATTTTCCTTCTCCGTACAGCCTGCCCTGGGTTCTCCCAGCTGAAGCCTCCTCTGGTCCGCTCCCCGCGGCTCCTTTTGTGCTTCAGTCTGCCCCAAAGCCTCTACCGGTCCGCTCTCCGCGGCTCCTTTTGGGCTTTTACTTCTGGGCTTCTACCTGGCTTCTTCTTCCGCCCAGGGGTGGCACCGGTATATATATGGGTACAGTATCCAATCATGTTAAAGTAAGCAAGGCAAGCTGATTGGCTAACATCATCAGTTGCCAGGCAGACTATATTGTTGAGCGGGTTGTTTACGCGGTAAGCAGGAAACTAACATATTCGATGGGAGGAGTAATCTACCTCAGGCTTTGCTCTTTACCACAGGCCGCACGTCCGCCGCGCAAGGCGAGCTATCACAGACGCGGCTCCCAACAGACAACATCTCATGCAAGTCTGTTTCACAAATCTGCACTGGGAAGGCCCAAAGGCCAGTGCGGGGAACCAGAAAGTCTGTGCCAGCAGAATGAAGGATCTGTGCCAACAGGCTGAGGGATCTGCACTGGAGCCAGGAAGCCAATGCTCAAGTTTAGAACCAGAGCTCCCCCAAAATGAACAGCAGCCATTCTCCGTGACAACAAGGTTTCAGGCTCCTCTGATGATGAGAACAGACAAGTTCACATTGGGAAAGAAGCTTGACAAACTCCTCCAGGAGAACCAATGGCAACAGGCAAACCAACAATACCACCTCTTCCTCTCCAGTTCTCCGTTTTGTGTTGTGGGCTCTCCACACCCAGCACTATGCTGACTGAGTTCAGTCAGGTGTTACAAGTTGATCACCAGTTGTCAGTCCACCACAGCACTTGATGATGTTGAATAAATATTTTGGAATATTTTTAAAGTCCTTTTCTGCTGGGTGTGATGGCATGTGCCTATAATCCCAGCACTCAGGAGCCTGAGGCAGGAGGATCATCATGAGTTGGAAGCCAGCCTGGGCCACGTACATAAGCAAGTTCAAGGCCAGCCTGTACTATACAGCGAGACTGTGACTCAGAAAGAAAACCAGAAAAGTCCTTTCTTCTGAATCCCAGCTGTTAGCTCCAGAAGAAAAACGTTGCCTTACTATTTAAAGACAAAGAGGTTTACCCAGGGTCTGGAGCTTAGCCGACATGCATTCAAATGCCAACTTTACCATTTACTAACTCTGGACCCTTGGCAAGTCACTTAGTTCTTTAAACCTCAGTTTCCACATCTATAAAACAGGGATAACTATGCCTATGTTACAGGATTGTTATAAGAGTTAAATGAGAGAATTTGGATTAGATATTGGCTACATATGTGACACATAATTGGCTGTCAGTAATGGTAACCATTTGATTTCCAGAACAACAAGCACTCTGGAGTAGAATTAGGAAAATTTTGGAAAGGTGGTTGTGGTGGATTAACAACTGATGGTCAACTTGTAACATCCAGCTGAACTGAGTCAGCGTGGTGCTGGGTGTGGAAGACCCACCTGAGAATTGTTGCCAACAGCATAAAAAGGGAACTGGAGGGGAAGAGGGTGTGCTGTTGATTCTCCTGGAGAAGTTTGTCACACTGGTTTTCCTGACATGAATTCAGCTGTTCTCATCATCAGAGCTCAAGACCTCACTGTCACTGAAAATGGCTACTGCTGTCTTTGGGAGAGTTCTTGTCCTTACTTTGAGCATAGCTTCCTGGCTCAGTGAAGATCCCTCAGCCTGCTGGCACAGCTCCTTCATCCCACTGGCACAGACTTTCTGGCTTCCAGCACTGACCTTTGGGCCTTCCCAGGGTAGATCCTTGATACAGACTTGCAGGAGACATTGTTGTGGGCTCTAAGTCTCCAGATGGACTCATGGAGGGCATTGCCATAGGCTCTAGGTCTTCATCTGGATTTCATCAGGACATTACCATGGATCCAGGTCCTCAACTGGAATCTTTGGCTCTCTAGTGCATGGACAGATCTCCTGGCACTCTTTTGCATTTGACTCTTTGGGTGACTACTATAAAATAATCCTATAAATTGTGTGTCCTATATTAAATTGTTTCCCTTGAAAACCCTGACTATAACAGCAGTTATATATAATACTAGGAACAGGGCACAGAAATGACCTAATGGGGTTTATCCTAATGATCACAATCTCTGTAATGATTTATCCCTGAGATACAGGATTTCTTTTTCTCTTTTCATGTTATGGAGAGATGTAAGTGCTTGCCTGGTAAGCACAAGGTCATGAGTTCGATTCTTGGTACAAAAGAGAGAGAGAGATTTAATAAGTATCACTGCAAGACACCAGGAGGATCATTCAAGGACATTGTCATTAATAGTTATTAACTTACCAAATATAATAGTCTCACCACAGGAGCCCAGCACTCAATAGTGGCCTGGGCTACATGTACCAATCACCCCGCCATTTCCAGCCAAAGAGACCATAATTATAATTCCTAATTGCCCAGGTGATCTTCCAAGCTCCTGGCCTCACTTCTTTGGCTCTAACTATGTTTCTAAATAGAGCATTGAATGAGGCAATTTCTATTTCCTTATGGTGGTGAAGAAATTGACTGGAGAAACAATAAGCAAAAAGAGAAATGGAATCCTGCACTTTATTTTCACCCATACGTTCTTTGAAAACAGAAAGAGAATCAAATTGATCTATGACACTGGTTTAATATTCACAATTGTGTTCTGTAAGAAAAGATAGATTTTGTTTTCTTTTTGTATTGTGATCTGACTATATATATATATATATATATATATATATTTCAGCCAAAGTTCAGTGAAATAATACTTTTATTCCTACCTATGATACCTGCTGACATTTCTATATATTGTTGTTTTTGTTTTTTGGTGCTGAGGATGGAATCCCAGGTCTCCCAAATCCTAAGTACATGCTCTAACCACTGAGGTACACCACAGCAGTTACTATTATTCTTTAATGCTGGTGGCAACTGCTGATGTCATGACCCACAACAGAACTTGAGTGAGCCACAAGTGGCCCGTGGGTATGAGGAAATATGGGCTCATAGGGACCTCTGCTATGCATAAAGAAGAGACTTCCACAGGCTTCCCTGTGGGTTTGTGTTGGTGCAACTCAGTTTGGTTGGGAAAAAAACTCTTTTTTTCTCTGCTCAGCATCGCAGTTGTAAAAGCAATATTTCAAGGGAACGTCCTTGCAAATTGCACATGTTTGTCTAAGTGCCTCTACATTTCCTCTGCTTGAAACACAAATACAAGGAATAGAAGTAACATTTATTCAGGAACCAAAGCTGGCCAAATGTGGCCAGGCTTTGCTCCAGCCTGTACCCCAGTCTACAAGGAGGCAGATGCCAACATATTTTTTGAGACGAGAGCTTTCCGTACATTATATGTTGGTGACAGGAGAATTAGATGGAAAATTCTTTCAGTTCCTCTAACAGTGTGCATATCTCTGTGTGTGTGTGCATGTGTGTGCGTGCGTGAATACCCTTACGTGATGACCATCCTTGTGAAACTGCCATAGAGGAAGCTCTCCAAAACAGCCAGAAAGTCTTCTGAGATAGAGTTTTTCCAAAGATCAAATTTCAGGGCGTTAAATATTATAAAGTGAACATTTGTATGGAAAACTTTTCAAACAGGAAAACCACGAACTTTTTTTTCTTCATTTTCTCTCCCCTTTCTTGAAAAGACAAATACAGAAGACCATAGCATTCCTATCTGAAGCAAATACCATGTCCAGAGGCTTCTTTGGGAGCCAATGGCCCCATCTGATTCACCAGATTTCCCCTCAAGTATCGATTTCTTTGAGCAGATCTAGTACAGCTTTGAATCTACCAGATGAGCGAATCATTTAGAGACGCTCTTGCTTTGGAACATTGCTGGTGTTCACAGTTCCAATTGTTCTCATCTTCTGGGTACACCAAGCGAGGGGGAGCTTTTCTAACTCAGTAAAAATGTAATGATAGGACTTTTCTTGGCCAATAAAATGTCAGTAGCAACATGTGTTACATCTGAGCGCAAGCATTTAACAGTGACTCATGATTCTCCCAGTCTGTCCATCTCTGTTGTCACAAACCCTGGAGACTTGCAGTTAGATAACAATCTCTCAAGATGGTAGATCCTTCCTCAGCCTGGGTCCTGGGTTCCCAAAAGAGCTCACATGGACCATCAAGCACAAGCAAGAAATAATCTTCTGTAAGTCAGTGAAGTTTGAGGCTTATATGTTACCAAGCAGAACTAGGTCATCCCAAGGGTACACATAGTTTTGCTTAGCAGAATCTATGACCCCTAACATTTTCCAAGATACTAACTAGCCAATAATGTAGGAAGAGAGTTAATGAACTCAAAATGGGAACTTTTCCATCTGTATTCTCTCATGAGAGCTCATAATGGCCAGGGATTCACTGAAAACTCATTCCTGGCATATCTGGATCTGTTTGGCAGTAAGTAGCTCCCATGTTCCCATAATTCTACTGGGCTAGGAAGATCTGTTAAAATTCATCTCTCAGAAGGCTATTTTAATGTTGATATTTGTTCAGAAACATCCAGCCAAGCAAATGTTCATTAAAAAGCTGGCCATCTAACTACCCAGGATGAACTAGAACCATACTCTGAGACTCTCATGAACTCCCTCTAACTGAAAGGAAAGGCCTTCTTTCCAGAGGGAGCTGTCTATCTCTTCAGTAACCCAGGCCTGCTGCAGGCCTCCCAGTCACCCCAAAGCAGATATCTGCTCTCCTCGATTCTCAGGGCCATCGATTCTCAGGGCCATCGCTCGGTTTCCATGGCCACAAAACAATTTGAGTAAACATTTTCAACATCACTGGATTCTTCCATTTGAAAAGTGAGACATTTGGAAAACCAGTTCACTTTAAAACATTAAAATTAATCAACAGGTTTACAGCTTTGAATATTGTGATCAAAGGAAAACAAGCCACAATTTAGGAACCTTATTTTCCACCCACAGGAAAAAGAATGACTACCTCAAAAAATTGTTTGACATTTAAATGCAGGATTTATTTTATTTTATTTTATTATTTTTTGCAGTGCTGGAGATGAAAACTTGGGCCTTGAACACACTTGGCAAGTGTTGTTCCACTGAGCTACAGCCCCCACCCCAAGAGTGTATTTTAATAGTGTTCTATCAATGATAAAAATCTTGACTTTGATAATGGTATTATAAAAGAATATCTTTGTTTCTTAAGAAATACACTCTGAGGTATTTAGGGATGAAGGGTCATGATATTAGCAACTAGAACTACTAGTAAGAAATAATATGGGAAGAAAAAGACTTCAAATACGTAAAAAGCTAATAATTAGGATACACAGATACATGGACAAAGTATTCACTCCACAATTCTTGCAACTTTTCTGTAGGAATGAAAAATTTTGAAATAATTTTTTTAATCATGCATGCTCCAGATCAATGGTTTTCACATCTTTTAACCATGACTCCAAAATAAAATATAAATTGTACACAGTAACCCTGTACCCATGCACACACACACAATTTGAACAAATGCATTCAAATTAAGAAAAAGTTTCACAAAACAACTGCTTGCTTATATATTACATGTGATGCTCTGTAACTTTTCTATTCTATCACATTTCTACAATCACTGTTTGCCGTGCTGGGGATGGAACCTAGGGCCCTAAGTATGCTCGGTACATGTTCTCCCACGCAGCTGCACTCCCAGCCCTCATGGTCGTTTGTGAAAATGCTCACCGTGATCTATTCACTGAGTTGATGACCACTAATGGTCAAAACCCATTTAAACTCTCTTGCAATAGTTCTAATACTTGGTATGATTAAGAAATACTGTGAACTGAGCATGGTGGCACATATCTGTAATCCCAGCTACAAGGGAGGCCGAGGTAGGAAGATCAAAAGATCTAGCCCAGCCTATGCAACCTGTTTCAAATTTTTTTAACAAGTGCTGGAGATACTGTAGCTCAGTAGTAGTGTTTGCCTAGCATGCATGAGGCCCTCTCTGAGTTCAATCCTCAGTACCATTAAAAAGAGAGGGAGAAAAGGAGAGGAAGGAGTTGGAGGAGGAGCTGTTGCCATAAAAATTTGACAATGTGGTACAACCTGAATCTGTTGGTTTTGCAATTCACCTCTCCAAATACAAAGTGAGGAAGGAAGTCAGGACATTTAAGATTGCAGATTTCCAAAATGTTAACAAACGCAGTTATCCCTGCAGAAGGTATAGGGAATAGCTTGGGCAAGTGTTTAGCAGACATATGGCACTGTTATTGACTTGACTGCCTCATGGCCTGTCGGGAGCCTGTGGCTGTTACGACCAGCTCAGGATGGCTCTGCTGCCAAATAGAGAGATGGGTGTGGGAAGGTGGAAGAGTCAGCGTTGGGGGACAGGAGGCGATGCTGGGGACAGAATCTAGGGCCTTGCATATGCTGGGCAAGCGCTCTACCACTCACACTGAGCTCAGAGCCAGCATTTAGAAGGCAGCCTGCAAAGCCTACACTTGCATCTGGGCCCAAAGAGCTGCTGATCCCAAGGCTGACCAACCCACCTCTGCGCACTTCCACTGCAATCCTGAGAAAAGCTGAGTTACTGGGGCCACTGCAGTGAGACCTGGCAGCCCTGCTTTCAGACACTTGCACACTCAGAGCCCTGAATGCTCACCACAGGTCCTGGTCAGCCTCTGCTCTAGCGAGTAGACGCAGGAGCTGATAGCTGGTCAGTCGCCACCCTGAGGTATCCCTGTCTCTCTTCCCACCCTGCTTCCTTCCTGCTTGGCTGTTAGCCCCAAACCACGCAGCTCATAAACATCTCCACACTAATAATGTCTCTCTTCTGAACACTCTTCCCACAGAACATTAAATAAAGGATTTTGTGGCCTCCTCGGGTTCACAGCACACCTTAGCATCTGAAAGACTGAAAGTCCTACTATAGAGAAACTGGTTTAACACTTAATTCCACCCCTCCCCCATACACGCACACTAGGGATTGAACCCAGGGCCTTCCCGCTGAGCTACATCCTCAGTCCTTTTTCAAAATCTGAGACAGAGTCTTGAAGTTGCTCACACTGGCCTTGGACTTGCAGTCTACCCATCTCAATCTCCCAAAAGACTGGGAACTTTGGGGTTTTTTGTAATTTGGGAATTTTACAGATTTGTCTACAAACATCTCCTGCTGCCCCAAAGTTCTTTTGTGGCTACAGACACTCCTGAAATAAATATGGGGTAAGTAAAATGGGTCTTGGTTTTAATTGCCTCTTAACACATCTCAGATTCCAGGAACCACCTTGCACCCCCTTGAGTCTAAGTCTCTCCCATCCCTCTTCTGTCGTATTCTACCTACCGTCCTGAACCCTAGTTTCCCCAGGCAGATATTTAGGGAGGAAGAAGAAGGGTAGGTAGAAAACAAAGAATTAGACTTAATAAGTTACCCTACCAGGAGAATTGGCACAGTTGATCGTTCTTAGCCATGGACCGCCTCTAACTCAGGCACTGTTGCCTGGAAGATGGGAGAGTGGGCTGGGGTGGAGCACTAGAGACTCCCAGTTCCCAGCCTTTGAACTCAGCAGCCCACCGTCATTCTTGTTTGCTTTGCCAAAGGATGCCCAAGAGCAGAAATCCACAACTACCCCCGGCCCAGTGCCAATCCAAGGCCTTTCTCTACCTAGGACCATCTGTGGCGGCAAAGTCTTCCTTCCATCCTCCACTAGAATTTTCATAACTTGCCCTCATCCTGTTCCCTAAGCCCAGCTTTTCCCCTTTGGCCAAAGCACTTCGGGCCACCCCAAAGTGGCATGGTCAGTCCAGCTGCCGGCCGAATGTCATATGCCTAGCCAGGCTGAGCAGGAGACAAGAGGCAAAGAGAAACTTGTCCTTATGGCCAGAGTCCACAACCCCACAGGAGGGAAGAGTGTAGGACAGCGAGGCGTTGGCCAGCCCAGCTGTGGCGTTGATGGCCTCCTCCACATTGACCCTCGGGGCCAGCAACTTGGAGAGGAGGCTGCTGAACCTGCTTGCGGTGGTGGCCACCGGTCCCAGGGACATGCCCGGACTAGAAGCCGTAAGGTTCAGCTCCACAGGGTCCACACAGAGGCCATTGGAGGAGCGCTCGAAGGCCACCTGGCTGAGGTCCAGGCCGGCCACGGAGCCCGGGGAGGCGCAAGGCACGTCAGTGACGCGACTAGAGCCTTCTATCCAGTCCCGCAGCCACTCCAGGTGGCAGTCGCAGTGCCAAGGGTTGCGGAAGAGGAAGAGGCGGCCCAGGAAGAAACCAGGCTGGAAGGCGGCCCAGGAGAGCACGGTGAGGCGGTTGCCGTTGAGGTGCAGCGCCAGGAGGCCAGAGAGGTTCTGGAAGGCGCCCTCCTCCACGAAGGCGATGCTGTTACGGTCCAGGTAGAGCAGCTCCAGCTCGGCCAGGTCTGCAAACCAGGCGCGTGCCACACCACCCAGCGCGTTGCCACCCAGGTTGAGGGTGCGGAGGCGGTGCAGGCCACGGAAGGCGTCTGGCGGCAGGACGGCCAGCAGGTTGTCGTTGAGCAGCAAGTACTCCAGTGAGCCGCAGTCGCCGAAGGCCCAGGCGTGCACAGCTCGGACGCGATTGGCCTGCAGGTTGAGAGAGCGCAGTCGCCGCAGGCCCTGCAGCGAGCTCGAGGCCACCGCCTCAATGCGGCCACGCTCCAGATGCGCGTGTGTCAGGTTGGCCAGGCCGCGGAGAGCACCGGGTACGCGGCGGAACAGGTTGTCAAAGGCGGCGAGCTCGAGCAAGGCCGGCAGCTCTGCTAGCAGGCGCTCGGGCACGCTGAACAGGCGACAGGCAGCCAGGTCGAGGTGACGCAGGCGGCCCAGCGCTGCGAAGGTGCGCGCGTGCAGGTAGCGCAGGTCGCCGTTGTGCGCCAGGCGCAGCTCCGCCAACCAAGACAGACCCTTGAAGGCGCCTGGCGTGATGAAGGAAAGGTTGTTGTGGCGCAGCGACAGGCGGTGCAGCGACGGCAGCGTGCCAAAGGCGCGCTCGCCCAGTATGCGTAGGCCGTTGCGGTCCAGGTCGATGGAGGCTGCCTCGCACGGGAACTCAGCCGGCACTCGCTGCAGGCCCGCGCGGTCGCAGCGCACCCAGCAGCCGTGCTCCGCGTTGCTGCAGCTACAGGCAGCGGGGCAGGCGCGCAAACAGGACCCGGTGGCCCGGATGCTGGGCAGGCAGAGGACCACCACTGGCCGGAGAGCCGGGAGGCCGGGCAGGAGGGAGCGGAAAAGACAAAAAGGGAGCAGCAGTCAGCCAAAGGTCACCCCAGGGGGCAAGATGCAGGCCCTGCACCAAGTTCTTCTTAGTCCTGCAATGGACTAAGACCATGCCCCTCCTCTGCAAAGGCTCACGGGTGTCCCTGTCTACAATAGGCTCTTCTTCACTTTGGTTTCCACTTACCTAAATCAGCAATCCCGTGCTTCATCCCCGCCATGGACCACGTTCTGAACTCCTTCCAACCTGCATCATCGCTGTATGCTCCTAGAATATGGCCTTGAGTGTTTCCAGTTTGCAAGCATTGCAGGATCGCTGAAGCCAGCACTATAGGCTTGCACTGCCCGATGTGATGACCACTGGCTACACAGGCTACCAGGCATTAGAAATGTGGCCCGCCCATCACTGCAGATGATATACCAGATCTCATAGTTTTAATGCCAATGAGTAAAATATCACATCAATAATTTTTGCATTGATTACATGGTGAAATGTTTTTATGGGTTGTAGGGGCAACTCAGGATGGAACCCAGGGCTTCTTCATGTTAGGAAACTGCCCTACCACTGAGCTATGTCCCTAGCTTTCAAGCGCTATTTTAGATATATTGAGTTACATAAAATATTCACATTAATGTCAACTGTTTCTAACTTTTTGAATGTCGCTACTTGGGAAATGTATGTATACGTGGCTTACATTTGCTGTTGGTACTATTGGCCCTTCTCAGCCTAAGAATCCAATTCCTGCAAACTCCCAGTGAGTAAGTTAAGCCTCTAGAGAAGGAAGAAGTGGGGGGAGCAAGGAGGATGGGAATGACATAGAGAAGCCTACCAATCTTTTTTTCTTCTGTAATAGTCACTAAAATTAAACCATAAGGACAGAACACTAAAAAGACTTCTCCCACTTTCAAGAGAATCAGTTAGCAGGTAAGGTCCTTTCACCAGCCCGTGCTCCCTAGGAACTTTTTGACATCATCTTGTGAAAGAAAAGTGCTTATCAGTTTTGTTGTGAATGTTTGAATGGCAGGTCAGATAAAGACTTCAAAAGCCACCACCTAGTAGGCTTGGCCCTGGCTGCAAATAAAAGGGCATGATCTGTTGTCTTGCGGAAGACACAGGTCCCAAGCAGAGCCTTGAAAACAAGTGGAAAAGGCAGTATTGACAAATACATAATTTTTATTTTCTGGCCAGGAATAGCTCTAAAGTGAAATATGCTCAATCCACAGTTCCTGTAGAGGGAAAAGGGGACCCAGAGGTAAATATGCTCACTGGTTTATAATTTCCACCCTTCCTCAGAGGTACTACCAAATTTCTGGCAATTATTGCTGACCTGTTATTTGATCCCTCCCATTGGGTGCAGGTCCCCTGCCTTGCTTAGCTAGTCCCCTGCAGGAATCTGAAGGTGTGGCCAATACCAGGGGTATGTGGGTTTGCTTAGCTCCCAGGATCTCTTCAGTCTGTTGTGAACACTCCGTGTTTTCTCAGCTGCTGGGAAAGGGTTTCAGTCCTCTTAGACTTGGTTTGAATGTTTGCTTGAAAACTGTAGGTACTTCAACATTGTAGTGTTGCCAGGCCCATTCCGTGCATGCCTGTAGTCCCAGCACTCTGAGAAAGGAGGATCACAAATTCAAGTCCCACCTGGGAAGATTGGTGACTTAATGAGACCTGTTTCAAATCAAAAATTTAAAAAGGCTGGGGCTGGGCATGGGGGCGAATGCCTGTCATCCCAGCACTCAGAGGCTGAGGCAAGAGAATCACTGCAAGTTGGAGGTCAGCCTGAACTGCATAGCAAGACCCTGTTTCAAACACACACACACAAACACACACACACACACACACACACACACACACACACACAGAGGGCTGGGGATATAGCTCAGCACAAAGGCCCTGGGTGGGTTTAATCCCCAGTACCAAAAAAAAAAAAAAAATACAAAATCTGATATTAAAGCTTGACTTAGCTTTTCCTTCTCCCTGAAAACTGAGACAGGGACCAAGCTTTAGGAAGCCTTTTGCAGCCAGCAAGCTCCTTGAAACTTGTGCTGTGCTTAGTTGCGAACAGAGCCTTTACTGGGCTGGGAAACACTCTAGTAGGGAAACAGGGCCAAAATTATAATTTTAACTCCAGACCTCAGCAGGACACAGGCAAAACCTTCTCCTACCAATTCTTCTAACTAGGTCAAGTCAAAGGCATCAGATTTTCTTAGAAATAGTTCTTCATTTTACTCTTCTTTCTGATTAAGAAAAACGCAATCTTAAAAATATGACTCATGCTGATATCCACAATAGCATCAATAGCATCTTAACCCTTTAGAATCACAGCAGACTTCTTAACGTAAAAACTAAAGACCAGGAGAGATTTTTTAAGTATTTCAGGCCCTAAAACATAACTTCCAACCCCAACCTACATATCTGGCAAAACTTTCTTTCAAAATTGATGGTATTTCCATGTTAAAGTGCAACTTGAAAAATTCCTGACCACCAAGCCAACACTACAAAAAGTTTTCAAGGATATCCTACAGAGAGACAATGAATCCAACAATGCCAAAAAAATCTAATACAATGAGTACACCAGGCAGGATGAGCAGTTAAACAAAAGAGAGAAAAAAGAGATTGAAGTAGAAAATGGAAAGACATTACCTGTTTCTGAATAGAGAGAACAATCATAATCAAAATGACCGACCATAATTCCAAAACTGATATATAGATTGAATGCAGCCCCAGTCAAAATACCAACAGCATTCATCATAGAACTAGAGAAAACTAAAATTCATGTAGAACAAGAAGAGACTCCGAATAACAAAAACCATTCTGGCAAACCAGAACAAGGCAAGAGGAATCACAGTCCTGGACTTCAAGTTATAGTACAAAGTTACGTTGTCTAAACAGAATGGTACTGGGAAAAAAAGACGTGGATCAAGAGAACAACACAGAGGATATAATAAAACTCCAAGCACATTCGGCTAACTGATCTTTGACAAAGGAGCCAAAAACATACTCTGGAAGAAAGATAGCCTCTTTAACAAATGGTGCTGGGAAAACTGGCTATCCATATACAGAAGATTGAATCTATATCCATACCTCTCATCATATCTTAAACTAAAATCAAAATATATCATAGATCTAAATAGTAAAACAAACCGTCTGCTGCAAGATACAATGAGTAAAACTTGAAGTCACAGGTATAGGCAAGGACTTTCTGAACAAAATTCTAATTGCATAAGAAATACCAAGAATCAAATCAAATTATCATATCAAATTAAAAAGTTTCTGCACAGTAAAGGAAACAACCAACAGAATGAAGAGACAATCTACTAAATGGGAAAAAAAATTTCCAACTATTTCTCAGACTAATCTCTAGAACATATACAGAACTCATGGAAATTAAATCCTCCAAAATAGAAGACCCAGCCAGAAAATTAGCAACTGAAATGAATAGACACTTCTCCAAAGAAGAAATATAAATGGCCTATAGGTACATGAAAAAAAATGTTTAGCATCTCTGGCCATTAAAGAAATGCAAATTAGAACACCACTGAGATTTCATCTCACTCCAGAAAGAATGGCTATAATCAAGAAATCAACCAATAATAAATGTTGGCAAAGCTATGGGGAAAAAAGGAGCCTTCTCCATTGCTGGTGAGAGTGTAAACTGGTACAACCACTATGGAAATGAGTATGGAGATTCTTCAAAAACTTAAACAAGAAATTACATTTTACCCAGCTAGTCCCCTAGGTATCTTCCTGAAAGAATTTAAAAAATCATTCTACAGTAACACATGCATACCCATGTTCATAATAGCATAATTCAGGATAGCTAAATCATGGAAGCAGTTTACATATCCATCAAAAGATGAATGGATAGGGGCTGGGGATTTAGCTCAGCGGCATAAGCGCCTGCCTTGCAAGCAGGCAGTCGTGAGTTCGATCCCTGGTACCGATAAAAACGAAAAAGACAAAAAAAAAAAAAAAAAAAGATGAATGGATAAAGAAAATGTGGTATTTATTTACAAAGGCATACTACTCCACCATAAAGAAGGCTAAACTTGAGTCATGTATAGAACCTTGAGAATATAATATTAAGTAAAATAAATCAGACACACGCTCAAATATCACACAATTTCTCTTATGAGTAACACAAAGTATATGTAAAGACCAAAATAAAAGATAACAAGAAGTAACAAGATAGATATTTCATATACAGGAAAGGGACCAAAAGAAAGAGGGAGGGAAGGAGAAGGGGACAATAAAAGAATTAAGATGTGGTATATACATGTCCCAACTTCCCATGAAGAATGTATTCCTGTTATGTACTATAAACATGTGCTACTAAAAAACTAATAAAAAGCAATGTATTGTGGGTTTTATAACATAAACAAGAAATATGACAATAGTCACATAAAAATGAGAAGGGAAGTAAATTGAATTGACTCATATCTTACATTATATACAAAGCACTATGAGAATAATTCAAGGTACACCATAACAAATTAAAACTATATATTGTAATCCTAGAAAATAAAAAGAACCTCAACTCCTACCTCATACCATACACAAGAACTCAATCACAAATGATAGTAGATACGTATAGGACATTGTTTAAGGACTCTGGTAACAATGTTATCTGGGTGATAAAAGCATGTATAATATCACTCAAATTAACTTTTACGCATTTTTTTGGTCTCATAACAACCAACTTTTGATAAGCGTTTGCTTGTGGAGGACCACCGAGATGGGTCTCCTTGAAAGAAGAGCATTTGGCTCCATCTTGGTGAATCCTGGCCCTACTTCCCATGTATTGATATGTGCAGGACTGGCTAGGGTATTTCTTTACCCCTTTAATTGTCTTTAAGCAATTCAAATGAGTCTAGCTGAGGTAGTGATGTGTAGACTTTAAAGCAATGCACTTGTGGTCAGTGATGCCCTATAGTGTGAGCAAGGTCAAATGACACTGCGCTATCCAGAAAGAATTCATGCCATATCAGAGCATGAAGACCAGGCATCAAAGCTGAAGCACTGACCCCAAAATACAAAATATTTCTTCAAACTGTGTTATACAGATTACTCTTTCTGGAGACCTATCTCTGCATGTTTGGGCACAATTGTATGATTAGTAAAGGCACAGTTACAGAAGAGCATACTTACAGGTATTTCCTAGTAAAAGCTAGAGATCGGTTAGAGTCCTGTGACCAGGCTCCTGCTGCTTGTCACGGCTGCTAACTTAAGTCGCCCTTGACTGTCTGGGTCCGACTGCTTTTCTTCTGATAATGCACTGGGCCAATGTGACTATTCTCAGCTTACGTTTCCCTTATTAAGAAAATATATTGCTTCTAACTGGCTTCAAGGACTTTGGTTGGGGCAGAGTAACCCAAAGATACTTTTTAACTGCACTTGTTCCACTTGAACCCCCTGCCCTCCTCTCCGGGATTTTCCTGCTGTGACAAACAATTCCTGACAATATGTGGCTTGATTCAATCCACGTAACCAATCGTGTAAAGCCTTGTACTTCCTGCTTGCAAACTGTGTTTAAACCAAGCCCAGTGCTGCCTCAGTGCTGATGATTTGGAACTGAGGTTCCCATCAGCCCACTCGTGTAATAAACAGTAGCCTTCTAGATTCCTCGGTGCAGTCTTTCATTAGCTTTGATATTGGTTTTTCTGTAACACTTATTGCAGAGATGTTACTGTGCCTGTACCTAACCCAGCTCACAGTACTCACACACTTCCTGCCATTCTCACAGTCACCCAATCCCGAGCCACTCCCTTCTTCGCAAATTAATAAAACCAGAGTTCAGCTTTTGTTCTGGTTAGTCATTGTTCTGACTTAGGACTCCCTTGACTCTCCACCACTGTAGATGTGTCTCTTTATTTGCACTGTGGGTTGTACTGGAAGTGGTAAATTGGGATTTATTTGCTAGAATTCCAATAACTTTTCCTTGGGATCACAAATACAAACTCTTCCAGACTGTGACAAGGTCCTGACGGAGCTCAGGGTTAAGATTGCTTGTACATTATTTTCACTGACTATGATAGCCCTTCAAGTGAGTATTATTCTCCTTTTCTCACAAAAGACGAAGCTGATATTCCTGATTATTAAATGACAACAATTTTTATCTTTCTACTCTACTATCTCTCCCATACTACTACCTAAATTTCTAAGCTTTTGGGGGGTTTTGGTTTTGTTTGTTTATGATATTAAGGATTGAACTCAGGGCCTTTGCACTGAGCTCCATCCGCAGCCCTTTTTATGTTTTATTTGGAGACAAGAGCTCACTAAACCTCTAAATTGGCCAGGGTGGGCTAGAACTTGTGATCCTCTGGCCTCAGCCTCCCAGGGAGCTAGGATTACGTACAGGCCTAAACCACCACACCTGGCTGAGTTCCTGTTTCTTTAACTGTAAACTGAAGGAACAGCGCTTCCTGGCCTTGGAGGGCCCTTCTAGTTCTCATTTTCCATAGTTCTACAGCAGCTGTTGTCAACCACTATTTCTAAGCAAAAATACCCTACTCAGAGTCTCATGTGTCTGTGCCGCCTCCTCCCAGCCATGGCTGCTTGCACCCTGGGGGAGCACTTTGACCTAAGCAGAGCTAATCATGCAAGTGAAATAGGCACTGAGGGCCCCTTAGGTCCATGAGCTCATAGATGCACAAATCTGCCTAGCACTGTGGCTAGAGTTTGTATCAAAGCCACAGGCAGCTCAGAATTATGGAGTAGCAAAAGCTGAGGCGAGGTGACGAAGCAGGTTCAGTGTCAGTCTGTTCACACTGCCATAATAAAAGAGCATACACTGGGAAATTAGAAATAACAAACTTCTCACAGTTCTCCCGGCTGGAAAGCCCAAGATCAAGGCAGGCTCAGCAGGTGGTGAGCATTTACATCCAGCTTCATAGATGGCCATCTTCTTGCTGTATCCTTACATGGTAGAACAGGTATAGGAACTCTCTCAGGTCTCGTCATCATCGTTGTCATCGTTGTTGTTGAGACAGGGTCTTACTATGCAACCCAGGCTGACCTCATGATCCTCCTGCCTCAGCCTCTCAAGTGCTGCAACTACAAGCTTGTGCCACCACGTCCAGGTTTCTTTTATAAGAATACCAGTCTTAGTCACGCCCTATCATGCCCCAAGGACCTCACCTCTTAAAATGTCACCCTGGGAACTTGGTTTCAACATATGAATTGGGTGTGAGGACCCAAACTTTCAGTCCACAGTGCATTCAGAGAGCACAGTAGATCTGACATGAGATTCACAAAGTTGGAGGGAGCTCAGAAAGCCCAGTAGAAAGACAGCTTCTGGCCACCTCTCTAGTTCCCACAGGGCCCTAAAGAGTGGTTTCTGTGGCATTTCCCTATTCTCATTTCTGTATCAACGAGTAGGTTTCTGTTCCTTGCAACCAAACCATCTCTGCTGATAGTAGGCATCTGACACCAAACATGGTGCCAACTTTCAAGCAGTTTTTCTACGTGTAGGGAATTTCTTATGTTTCAAGTCCTGACTATTCAACACAAAAGCCACAAACTCTTTCCTAACTTCCCTAGCAGTTGGGGCCCATGCATGTGACTTCTCTTTTGTCAAGCAGACCCCCAGGGAGACTTGGATTCAGAAGTAGGTGCCATGTGGGAAGCACTGGCTGGCCAGAATGGCTGCAGAGGCATCTGACTTTCAGGCGCCTGTGGCAGAATTCCTGGCACCCAAGACCAGACATGGTTCCCATGAGCTGCCCAGGGTCGCCTCCCAGTGGCAGTGGCTGTGAAGTCTTTGCTGGAGATGTCCACTTCCTGATACAGGCATTGCTCCTGACCCTGTCCGAGTAGCCTGGGAAAACCTAATGTTCCCGAATAAATTTTTGCTTAGTTTCAATGACCTAGAATGAGTCCTATGGTGTTTGCAGTAAGATTCCTGAACAACCTAAAACAGATGTTAAGGGTTTGGATGTGAAATGTACTCCAAAGGCTCATGCATAGCAGCTTGATCCTCAGCCTATGGGCCATTGAGAGGTGGTAGAGCTTTAGTTTGTTTGATTTTGTGGGTTTTTTGTTTGCTTTTTTGTGATACTGAGAATTGACTTTAGGGTCTTGCACATGCTCTAGCACTGATCTACATTTTAATGCCTTTACTGTTTTTATTTACTTATTTTTAATTTTGAGACAGTCTAAGTTGCCCAGGCTGGTCTCAAACTTGGGATCCTCCTGCCTCAGCCCCCCAAGTAGCTGGGATTACAGGTATGTGCCACATGCCTGTATCTCAGGTATTTGTTACAGCAATGTGGCCCCTCCTCCTTTTCCCTGAGAAACTATGTGAAATTTTCAACTTGCGGGAGAAAATGACTCAACTCAGAATAAAACAGCAACCCGCAGCCTAAAGGAAACTCCTCACCATTTATTGACAGGAAATATATACCATCGAATCAAAAAGAGCTTAGGACAACCCTGATTTTTTCATATCCAAGTGAATCATAACCCAGAATTAGCAGTGATCATTCTAATAACAAATCTTGGCCATCCAGAGCTTAGTTGCTTGGGAATATCTTTGCCAGAAAAAAAATTCACCAAATTAAAATAAGAAGTATGACTTGTGAGAAGAAAAAAGTCAACTCATTTGGCAATGGCTTAGCAGATTTTCTTCTCATGTCAGTATTTTTGGAAAGGATCCATCTGGAAATCAGAAAAAGCTTCATTGCTTTTATTCCCAGTCTGAGGAAGATGAGAAATGCTACAGGAGAAGCCTGGACTAGGGCCTGGGCCCTGCTCAGCCACCTTGGTAACAGCTCCAGGATGTGTCCGTGGGTCTTCCCAGGACATTCACTCACCCTGAGGGCATGCCCTCTTGCCCTAGTTCTCTCATAAAGTCTGTTTCTCATAACTGCTTTTTCTTTTTAAACCTCAGACAACCTCTGTCTCTTTCCTCATCTGTGTGGGCAGCTATGAGAAACATGCACTGCGCTGCTAGTGACGACTGTGAGAACTCAAGGCCAAGCTCCAAGTGGGCTCCAAGAGCCACTCCTCCCTTAGGGACACAGCCTTCAAAGGGCGAGCGGAAATGTGGCTGCAGGTAGAAAGCAAGAGAACAGATGTTATGGTTTACATCTTAAATGTCTTCCAAAGGAACATGTGTTAAAGGCTTGGTCACCAACCTGCGGCACTACACCAAACCAATGGACACAGGACCTAGTAAAAAGAAGTTGGGCCGTTGTGAACTGCCCTTGATGGGGACATCAGGACCTCAGCTCTTTCCTCAGCCCAAGAGCAAGAGAGCCCATCCAACCATGGACAGAAAGCTCTGAAGCCATAAGCCAAATTCCACTTCTCTTCTTTTTCTTTCTCCCCCCACCCCCAGTACTAAGTGTAGAAGACCACCTGGACAACTCTTCTTGAATAAAGAGCAGTTATCTCCATTTTGGGTTAACCTGGCCCTATCTCCATGTACCGATATATACAGAGCTGGCTAGGCCATTTCCTTTCCCCTTCAGTTGGCTCTAAGCAATGTGAATAGGGCTGGCTGAGGAGCTGATGGGTAATATTTGAAGCTACGTGACAGTCCGTTTCCCCGCCCCACTCCAAAAAACATAGTTGAGCCAGGTGGGATGAAAAGCCACCACTCCACACTGTCAACTGGGATAATATGACTTCCCAGGGCAGAAAAATTTACATATCAGAACTGAAGCACCAACCCTAAAACTTCCTCAATTGTGTTACGCAGATTCCTCTTTCTGCATATCCTCTCTGCAGACTGCAGAGGAGATCTCAGGTCACCTCTCTAGCCCAGCTCCCACCTTTCTCATAGTCACTCATCCTTGAGTCACTCCCTTCTTCACAAGTTAATAAAATCTGGCTTAGGCCCTGGGTCTGGGCCTTTGTTCCGGTGAGTCACCATCTTGGCTGGACTTAGAACCCCCTTGGTTCCCCATAACTACAAATATGTCTTAGTGTCTTTATTCTCGCCATGGCTTGCACTGTAAGTGGCAGATTGGAATTAACTTGGTAGAATTCCAACAATTTTTCCATGGGATTACAAATATAAACTTCCCGGACTGAGAGGAGGACCAAGAAAGACTTGCTATACTAAGGACTAAACTCATGGCCTATATACAGAGCTACATCCCCATCCTTTTGTTTATTTATTATTATTTATTTTTGAGGCAGACCATCACTAAGTCACATCTGGTTTATGTTGCAAGGTTTAAAAGTTCCTCAGGTGACTCTAATGTGCAGCTGAGTGAACCATCTTAGACCCTTCTTTGTGTTCAATATCTAAGGAATAACTTCAATATCTGACACCTGGTATGTTAACTGCCTGTTCCTGTGATAAAATGCATGAGATATACAATTTATAAACAAGAAAAGTAGCTGGGTGTGGTGGCACACAGTTGTAATCCCAGCACTACGAGAGGCTGAGGCATGAGGATTGCAAGTTCCAGTCCAGCTGAGCAACTTAAAGCGACCCTGGCCCAAAATAAAAATTAAAAAGAGGCCAGGGATGTGATTCAGTGGCAGAGCACTCCTAGATTTGATACAGAGTATCGGAGAAAACTCAAAATGCCCAAGTCAATTCCATCAAGATCTTCAGAAGTGAGAACAACCATTCCTCCCAATACACAACCAAAGTCAAAAATCAAGGGCCTAGGTAGGCCAATTTTATAAACACAGAATCCATCTTTATGGCATAAAATGTTCCAGGGTGTGAAAGAGAGTGGCTGGCTATATGACTAATAATTCCACTTGAAGCAAACCCTCAGAGGGACTGGAAGCAGGAGTTCTGACAAAACCTTGAATAGTGCTATTCATAGCAGCTGAAAGGTGGATGCAACAACTGTCAGCTAATGGGTCAATGTATGGATAACCAAATCTGGCATATCCATACAATAGAATATTATTCACCCTTAAAAAGGAATATAAGATCAACACTTCATAATGTAAAGGATAAAGCTCAAGACCATGCTGAGTCAAGTAAACCAAATACACAAAGCTCCATGTTATATGATTCTATTTACAGGACATGTTCTAAGCTGGTAAATCCATAAGGACCGAAACCAGATGAGTGATGGTGGGGACAGGGCTGAGGCAGGAAAGAACACGGAGTGACTACTTCATAATAGGCACAAAGTTTTCTTTCGGGAAGATGAAAATGTCTTGGAACTAGACAGATGTGCCCATTATACAACATTGTGAAAGTGCTAATTATCACTAATTTGTGTACTTTAAAACAGTTAATTAGGCAGGTATAAGGTGCATGCTTGTAATCCTAGTACTCAGAGAGGCTGAGGCAGGAGGATCACAAGTGTGAGCCCACTTGGGGCCATTTAGAGATTTATCAAGACCCTATCTCAAAATAAAAAAATTTAAAAGGGCTAGAGACATAGCTCAGTGGAAAGCCCTGGGTTCAATCCCCAGTACCACACCAAAAAAGTTAAATTTTATGTGACTTTTACCACAACTAAATTTGACTCAGAAAGGTAACCAGGTGTGGTGACTCATACCTAAATTCCCAACACTCAGGAGAGTGAGACAGGAGGATTGCTACCAGTATGAAGCCAGCCTAGGCTACAAAACGAGTTCAAGGCCAGCCTGACTTGTACAGTGAGACCCTATCTCAAAAAGACCAAAAAAAGGTTAAATATTGCATGTTTTCTCTTATATGAGAAAACCAAAAGTGAGTAAATGAAGGAAGTAAAGGAAAGATGAAGGAAACTAAAAGGTAGACTTCTGGAGATGAAAAAGGGGGCAGGGGAGGAGAAAAAGAGAGGTGGAAAAATAATAGAAATATTTTCAATGTACACATCAATTTTCTAAAACCAACCTTACCTACCGTTCTATACTACTAACATGCACCAATAAAAAAATACACTGCAATCAGTAAAAAAAATTGGAAAAATACATATGACAAGATGTCTCTAAATGGGAGCAAACACTAGAAACGGGTCCCTGCTTTTGTGTTCTGGTTGGGGGCACAGGCCAGACCCCCAAGCCACAGTGAAGTCGTGCGGGCCAGCCCCAGACACTGCACAGAATGAGTCTCAAGAGGCTCCCAGCATTTGTCCCACGAGGCCCTCAGCTTTTCAGCTCACAAGCGTGTGTTCCCCCTCCAGGTTCGCTAGGAGAAGGATTACTCATGGACTTTCCAACCACAGGCTGAGTTTGGAATGTTTCTTTATCCTCATTGTTTCAAAGAGCTTGTGCCTCGTGAAACCAAAATAGCATGGGGAGATGTGATCAATTTTCTGGTTTCAGCAAAATCTCTTCAGCCACTTTGGCACTAGAAATCATTCTCTTCCCACTCATAGCAAATGCTACCCCAAATGCACCTTGGGCCAAGATCTAGTGCTGTATTTGCAAACCCAAACTGGCTGGGGGAACAGAAATGTGGTAGGGGAGACCATGCCATGGCCTCTGGCCTTCTGTGACCCCAGAACCTGCTTCCCACACCATGCAGGTACTGTGGGGACAGGAAAAAATGTTCATGGGTTTCAGCTGCAGTGTTACAAGGGACAGAGAAACCTGCCCTGGGAGAGGTGGTCTGCCAGTGATGGCCTTGCAGGCCTTCTTGAACTCAACGCAGAAGATCACCCAGCTGAAAAGAACACAAAGCCCTAGAAAGGTCCCTGTGCCTACAGAGTGTGAATGACTCTTCTATGGTTTGGGTATTTGAGTGTATCCCCTGCCCCCAGGTTCACATGCTGAAGGCTTGGCCCTCACTGCAGTGGCACCGAGGGGTGATAGGACCTTTAAGAGCTGCACCCTACTGGGAGGTATCAAAGCCACCTTTGGAAGAGATTCAGATAGTTCTTGGTCTCTCAGGAAGTCCCACAGGAGCAGGTTGTTATAGTGAGCTTGGGACCTCCCCTGAGTCTCTCTTGCTTCCTGTCTTACCATGTAATCTCTTCCTTTTCTACATATTCCTGCCACAAGACCTTTAGCTGAGCTGAACAGATGTTGGTGCTGTGATCTGAACTTCCAGAACTGAGATAAATAAACTTTTCTTTATAAACTGTCCAGCCTCAGGTATTTTGCTGTAGTAGCAGAAAACAGATTAAGACATGCCTCTAACTGGAAGCAACTTAAATGTCCAACAATAGTGGAACAGATACACCACTATATCCATATATAGGAGTAACCAGTGACATCTGGGGATCTCATATTGTTTCACATGCCACAGAACCTGACTCAACAGTCAGATATTACTCCACTTAGAGTATAGATATTTCTCTTCACAGCCCTCTTTTATTCCTTTATTCTTTTTTTCTTTCTTTTTTTTTTTTTTTTTTTTTTTTTTGATACCAAGAGTTGAATTCAGGACCTTGTGCTTGCCAGGCAAGCACTATGCCACTGAGCTATATCGCTGACCCCCTCTTTTCTTCTTTTAAATCAAGTTGACAGAGGTACCATATACTCATAACAAAATGCATCCTTTTTTGTGTACAGTTCAGTGACTATGACAAACACATATACCCACCATCCAATCAAGATTTAGAACATTTCTAATTTCCAAAATCTTTCCTCAAGTCTCCGTAATATCAGTCCTCAACCCTGGCTCCAGATAATCCCTGGCTACAGTTCTGTTTTCTGAAGTTTTGCCCTTCTACAACTTATATAAATGGAATCCAATTGTTCATTCACTCAACATTTTGTGAGCTCCACCCACTTCGTAACAAAGATCAGTTGATTGTTCCTTTTCATTGTTGTGCAGTACCATGTTATATAAAGGTATCTCAATTTGTTTATTCAGTCACCTATTGGTTGACATTTGAATTTTTCCAGTTTCAGCTTAATGTGACTAAGACTGATATAAGACTTATATACAAGATTCCTTATGGACATGTATTTTCATTTCTCATTTTTCTACAAGTGAGATTGCTGGGTCATATGATAAATGTATGTTTTACTTTCGAAGAAAGTACCAAATAGTTCTCCAAAATGATCACCCCATTTTACAGCCTTGCCAGCTAAGTATGAGAGTTCCAGTTGCTCATCTTCAACACTTGATGTTTATCGATCTTTTACCTTTTAGCCATTCTAGTAACCAACATTGCATTGTGATTTTGCTTTCCTATAGGCCTTTCTTTTTTTGACAAGGTCTCACTATGTCGTTCAGGCTGACCTTGAACTCACGACAATCCTCCTGCATCAGCCTCTTGAGTGCTGGGATCACAGGTGTGTGCCACCACACCCAGCTCCCATAGGCTTTTAAATGCAATCCTTATCTCTTAGGAGACCTAATATGACAATTCTGGAGGTTGAGAGTGTGGCAGACTGAATTATGGTTCTAACTTGTGCAGCTTCAGTCATTCCACCAACAAGCTTTTATTAAGCACCTACTATGTCCTAGACTCTAAGACAGAAAGGTGGATAAAACACAGATCCTGACCTCTTAAACTCAGTGCAGTGCAAACCAGATATAAAGAACCCTACTGGAACTTGGATATTATGCTATAAACAACAACAGGACTCTTGCAGGATTAACACAGACAGCAGAGGTGAGAACCTTTGCACTTAACCATCTAGAAAAGAGGCACTTGTGCCAAGAAGGGGAACTTCTATCTTGATCTCTCCCCAGCTTTCCCCTGCTCTGATCCACTTCTGATTCTCCCAAGGTCTTGTTTTCCAAGGCTCATTCAGTCATTTTTTTTTCTTAACCGAGGAGGCAGTGCACTGTTCCTGCCTGCTTCTCGGGAACATGTTGTCCCCATTGCTGGTGAACAACATTCTCTGTGCTGCTCCAGTGTGTTTTAAATGAAAGCATCAGGGGATGTGGAGACAGTCATTAATTTTAAATGCATCTATTGTTAGCAAATGATGTCACCGCTGAGCTCTCCAACTTGTCACAAGAAGTCTGGATGGATTTCAGGTTTCTGTAGCAAGGACAACTCCTCTTTGCAGCATGCAGACTCTGAATATTTTTCTGCATTCTGTGAGGAACAGCAGAGTTTTGGTGCACGTCTGAAGTTATTCTGGCTCTGGGAAGTAAACATTCTGTCCCAATGAGTCAATCAAACTCCGTGTCCTTGCTAGCTAGGAGAAATGGGCAAGAAGATGGCTGTGGGTAATTATATAAATGTCAACCTCTGTCCTTTGGTGGGGTAGGGAGTCATGTCCTATTTATCATAATGTTCTCTATGCCTTGTTCAATTTTTTTGTCATTTACTTATTGGATCTCCCATAAAGGAATAAAAGTTTTTCAAGGACAAAGACCATGTGATTATATTCCTCATAATCACCTTGGAGTATATTGAAGGTATGCTGTATATCTATTGTTTGATTGAATAGAGAAAGTTCTACTTTTTGAAATGATGGAATAAAAAGTAAGAAAATTCTATTACCATTGTTTTAGAATGATCTGGCCAAAAGTTCTCTACCAGTAATGCATACTGAGGTCTATGATATGCATCATCATAACTTCAAATAATTAAATTCACCCCAAGGGTCAGAAAAACACTCTGCATAGAATCATTTTCTGAAGAACTTATTAAGAGACTTTTTTCTTTGGGTAACTTCAGATTTGAGCATCTATAGCTGGGGAAAATATTTTGTGGTGAGTCTCCTTAGGGGGATGTGCACATGCAAGAGAGAGACACACACACACACACACAGAGAGAGAGAGAGAGAGAGAGAGAGAGAGAGAGCGCTAAGTGTCAAATCTAAGACCTCATACATACTAAGCACAAACCCTCTCACTGAACTATTCCCCTAGCCCTTTCTTGGCATATGATAGTGCCTATAATAGCAAGACAAAAGACTCTGAAAAAATGTTGAACATCTATAGTTCTACAATTCCAACGTATTTTTTTCTCTTTAGGAGAATGGTTTAAGGGATTTTTATTTTTACCTAAATGAGCTTAAGATGATGTGATTAAAAACCACATTTGAGGTTACAACATCAACAAATCTATATCTAAATTAGAGTAAGAAAATCACCAAGAAAGACTATTTCATGTATTTGACTCAGGAGTTTCGCTTTTGAGCAAACAAATGAAAAGCAACCGTGCGCACGCACACACACACACACACACACACACACACACACACACCCTGCTTTTTTTCATTCTCCATCTCCTCCCCCACAATCACACCTGCAGTGAAATCTGATCAGAGGTGTCCAGAGACCGCTGTGGAAGCCAACTAAAGACATAGTTTTTAGGAACAGGAGCCCTGTAGCTTCCACACACCCTCCCAACCCTATAACCCTGGCAGCCAAACTCACCATGCAGAAGCAAGACCAGCATCCCTTGGCGTTCGTGCACCCGGTGGCTTAGAAGCACCCACCTGAGGGGAGAAAACCCAGGTCACCGGGTGGCCAGAACAGCTCCTCCAGGAACCATCCCTGGAGATTGTCCTACCTGGTCCCTTTCTCACATTCATTCCTCCCCCAGGGCCCTTGGGGTTGGATTAGGAGAAACTGATAACCACAGCCAATCAGAGCTCCCCCCTAACTGACAGTTTGGAACCTTCTGGAAAGCCTTCATTGGGCCGAGACACTGATAGACTCAGATGGTACCACTGATGACCCAGCAAGGAAGTGGTATGGAGGGTAGATCTTGGGGCTGCTTACCGCCCTCAGAGCCTGCGTGGTCCTGCTGCACCACGATGCCCCTCAGCTTCCCCAGCCCCTCCATCTCCCAAACCAGGCAATCACAGATGCTCACAGTGGTGCAAATGGGAAGTGAAGGCTGGGGGTGTGGGGGAGCAGGGGCAAAGAGGAATAGCTGCTTGTGCAGGTTGGAGTGCTTATTTTTCTTGCTCCAGATTTAATGGCAGGAAAATCCTCTGTATCAGATAAGGATTAACAGAGATGAAAGACCACGTCTGCCTTTCGAGTCACCAAAGCCAGTGACAGATTTTGCTGACACGCCAATCAGCTTCATCCCCAGGCCTTGGCCACCCTGACCCTGTCACCCTCTCCATCTGCCTGGCCCCTTTCCCTCCTTAAATCCCTCCCCAGACCCTGTCACCTTCCCTGACCCCAGTTTCTGCCGACAGCAATACACAGCCTCAAACTGGCTTCCAGCCACCCAAATAGCATTATCAGCATTTCCACCAAGGGCACGTTATGTAACTCAAAGGGCTGGAGAAGGCACAGGACAGTTTTTAAAAATGATGTTTTCCCAAAATTCAGGCCACGGGTTTCCTTCCTTTGGACTGGTGGTTGGTGGATGATCCCAAATGACAGGGACAGGAGCTCTTCCATGCTAGTAAAGCTAGAGGCCAGCTTTGGAGTCGAGGCTCACAGTCTCGGCCTCAAAATTTCCAACCTGTTCAGAATCTGGCTGCAATTTGGCAGATCCACCAGTACTGAGTTTAGGGCCAAATGTGGCCCTTGGGTGAGCTGCAGCTGCAGCCTCAGGGAACTGGTTAGCAATCTAAAATCCTGGCACCTGCTACCCTAGATCTCTAGACCCAAAGTCTGCATTTTAACAGGTTGGAGAGGGAAGATTCCTATGCCTATAAGATTTGGAAAGCCCTGGGTTACAGTGTGTAAGAGAGAATTTAAACTGGGTGGCAGGGACAGGGAGACCTGTTTCTTTGGCCCAACTGGCCAGCAGTCCAGTTGCCCCATATTCTCCTGGTCCTAGCAGATCCACAGGCCTGCTAGGATGGTGCCCAGTTCTGGTGGTGTTCATGAGAGAAAACCTGGGTGTGAATCTAGACATCTGGGGCTACCATGCCCTGGAGAAGTTATTTCTCTCATCCGGGCCTTGAAAAAACAAAACATGGCCAAACAGCAAAGGATTAAATAATGGAAATGGGGGTAAGACCCAGGCAAAGGAATGCCCCAAATGGGGTGGAGGTGGGGCTCTCCTTGTTTCCATGGGAGTGGTGAGCAGCACTGTCCTTGTGACCACCAGTGTCAGAGATGGCTTCATACATTCATTCCAAACCTTGGACCTCTGTAGCTCCCACGTTACCAGCAGCAGGCCCAGGCTGACACATGCCTGCTGGAATCAGCCTATCTGTACCCACTGTTGTAGTCAGGGTTTGCAAGGGAATCGATTCAATACAAGACACAAAAATTACAGGATTTTATAATATTCACCCGAAGAGTCAAATGCAGAAGACTACAGGAAATCTTTCCACACACTAGAGATCCAAAGAATCCAGCTGAGGGCCTGGATCCCACAACAATGTCGTAGAGCCCACAACAATGTCTCTGTGGTGGTCCCCCGCTTCCTGAGGTGTGAAGGAACCAGAGAAAATAATTTGGAAAGGAAAAAATTATTTATTAAAGCACAGGCCTGGCGACGCAACCTCCAGTAGCCAATATACAAGACTGTGCGCCTAACAGCTAAAGGGCAGGCTTTTTATCCTGTAAAACCACAAACAGCTGCTGGTCTCACAATGCAAGGGGGTGGGGTTTGCGGTGCACTACAAAACAGGAACACACGGCGGTTACATTTCTTGGGAAGAACAAGGTTCAGGTGAGCTAACAAGCAAGTTTAGATTAGGCAAACATCCTGTTCTGCTCTTAGAGTTATTTACCTTTGATCTTTCTCTTGCCTCCGGGGAGACTAATGAGGGGTTATATATATATATATATATATATATATATATATATATATATATATATATATATATATAGGTTACAACAGTCTCCTGCAAGTCTGTGTCAAGGATCTGCGCTGGGAAGGCCCAAAGCTCAGTGGTGGAAGCTAGGACGTCTGCGCCAGTGGGATGAAGGATCTGTGCAGCAGGCTGAGGGATCTTTAGCAATGCTCAAGGTAAGGACCAGAGCTCCCCTGAAGAGAACTGCAGCCATCCTCAGCAACAGTGAGGACTTGAGCTCCTCTAATGATGAGAACAGCTAAATTCATGTCAGGAAAACAAGTGTGACAAACTTCTCCAGGAGAATCCACAGCACACCATCCTCCCCTCCAGTTCCCCTTTATGCTGTTGGCCCTTCCACACCCAGCACCATGCTGACTCAGTTCAGCTGGGTGCTACCATTAATTCACCACACCCACCTTGTCCACAGATTTCTGGGTCTCTCTTGCTGCAGCCTTCTGCAGTCCCACTGGACTCGTGCTTTGACACATGAATCTCGCTGAGAAAGGCTTTGCCCACTGCAAAACCAATCATTTCTCCTAAGTGGAAAATAAGGAGTGATTAGACACTCAGGAGGAAAGAGAGAGCCCACCCATAGCGCCAACAGGGACACATAACCCATCAAAATCTTCCAAGGAACAAGGAATTGGGGATTGTTACTTTTTTTTTCTGATATTGAGGATTGAACCCAGGGCCTCCACATTGAGCTATATCCCAAGCCCTTTTTTAAATTTTTTACTTTGAGACAGGTTATTGTTAAGTTGTCCAAATTTGTGATCCTCCTGCCTCAGCCTCCTAGAGTGCTAGGATGACAGGTGTGCACCACCATATCTGGCTTCTTGTTACATATACAAATATGACTGAAATTATCACTCACTTATTCATTAATATGCTGTCAAATTCAGTTTTCTGTACACTACAATGCTTATTCCATTTTGCACTATCAGATAACAGATTTTTTAAAATATTTAACTCATTTTTAGAAGGAAATTAAATATTTTCTGGAAAAAAAAAGAAATATGACTGATAGACAAGTCCCCAAAGAGAAACTTCAGAGAAGACCCTGTTAACCAAAAACTAACCTAAGAGAAGGGCCTTTCTTTTTGGAGCCTGCCCCAGCCGAAAGCAGGGTTCCTGGGCAGGTTTGCAGCCACGCAGGCTTTGGGTAGCAGCCAGAAGGGCGAGAGGAGGAGTTCATGCTAAATTAGCACGTGATACAGAGACGGCCCAGATTATATGTCTCTTCTGTAGGTCACCTTCCAGAAAAGCTTCAGCAGCAGAGGAGGAAAAGACCTACTGTTTCTTTGTTATTTCTGTTATACTGGTTGAGGGGACAGCCGGCAGGGACCCAGCACAGGACCTCCAGTCAAAGGAAAAGACGAAATTCTTCCTCCGGTTCACGGGTTCATGGGTTCAGATACTCAGGGGCCTCCTTTGAGCACTCTCAGAGGCAGCTACAATGCTAAACTGATTCCGTTTCTTTAGCCACCCCCTGCTTCACACGAATACGCACATCATGCGGAAACAGTGCCACTGCAGCATGATGGCCACAAGACAAAGCAAAATGCCCTGCTTTGTTTAATAAGCGGCAGACTCCACGCAGAGAACAGGCCCGAAGTTGCTTCATTTTGGAAGTGATTGAAAGGGATAGGCAGAGAAGATAGAAATAAAGGGTCAAGCAAATCACCACTGTGGGTGACCACAGCTTTGTCCCCAGCAGGGAGGCCGGGGGCCTGGGCATCCACCCACCAATCCCTCCTGGTGCAGCACTGCTCCCAGGGGCCAGGAGAGGCTGTTCTTTCCCAGCAGTGTCCAGCCCCAGGCAAACTTTTGTAGATGTACTGATTCCTAAAGAAAATGCCTGTCCATGGCCAGCTCTTACTGCAAACAAGGCGGGGGTGGGGGCAGAATTCCTTATGGATGCTCTGAGCAGCCATGCTTCCTCACCTTGGAATTGGCAAAGCAATGCCAGTTACCAAGGTGACGAGGTGCCCTTGAGCAGTGTCTAGACTTGTGCCACTGAGGAGCTGCCCGGGGATGGGTTGCAAGGTCTCACTCTGCTCTGATGGCTGAGGCTGGCCCTCAGGGGCTCCACAGCCTGTGACCACTGGTGGCTTTGCTTGCGTGTGGAGGACACAGATTTGCCCTCCCACCTCTCTGCAGAGTAGTCACAACTCACAGACACCCATATGCTACGAGGCTGGTCCCCAGGCCTTGGCTCCTTGCTTTCCTCACTTTTTCTTGGGTGAAATCTCATCCTCCTGAGGGCTTAGCGCAAGTGCTACCACTTCTAAAGCACTAAGTCCTCCCTCCTCACTCTGGGGCATGGACTCTCCAGTTCATAGCATCCCGATGGTGTCTATGAAATCCAGCCCCCAAGTGTCGGGTCAGTGCCACCCTCAGCCTGGGCAAGAGGTGACATAGTCATGGCCTGACACAGACACCACCATAGGGACGAAAGACAAACTTCTGGGCCCTTAACCTGTTAGTCATTAGAAGTACAATTAGTGTTTTTTTTCTGAGGCACTCAGAGACTTAAAAGCATTTTTTTGTTTTTGGTTTTCACCAGGCATGATGACACATGCCTGTAAATCTCAGCACTCTGGGTGGCTGAGGCAAGAGGAACACAAGTTCAAGCTCAGCCTGGGCAACTTAGAATTTTAATGAGATTCCATCTAAACAATTTAAAAGGGGCTGGGTTCAGCCATGGTGGCACATGCTTGTAACCCCAGCATTCAGGAGACTGAGGCAGGAGAATCAGTGCAAATTTGAGGCCAGCCTAGGGCCAGCCTGAACTGCATAGTGAGACCCTGTCTCAAAAGTAAATAAATAGATGGGGATTTAGCTTAGGGTTAAGCGCCTGCCTGGCAAGCATGAGGTCATGAGTTTGATCACCGGTACCAAAAATAAATAAATAAATGGACTTGAAATGTAGCTCAATGCAAAGGCCCTGTGTTCAATCCCCATTACTGCCAAAGGAAAAAAGAAAGAAACATGGTTTTTGCTAAAGCACAGGACTCTTCACTTGTGCCTAAAAATACCCAATTAATAAGTAAAAGTAAAACAAAAGTTGAGCTTCACTTTTATCCTTTATTAGCCTATCCCACCCCTCTTCAAGACTGAGGACATCATGAGTAACCAGTGTGACTTTCAGGATTCACAGGGATATCTGATTACCAGCTTTTACAAGGGCCAGTTCTAGACCCACCCCCAACTCCCTTACCTCACCCATCCCCTACCTCGTCCCTCCCACCCCTACCTATTGAAGTCTCTAGCTGTTGTCCTGAACTGGTAAGCACCTGGGTCCCCAGCAAAAATAGAACCACATGACTGAGACTAGGCGCTACTGTACATCACCCTTCAAACTGGGAGCTACAGAACCAGGACTGGGATAATGATCAACCAGACCCCAACCCACTGTAGCACCCCGTAAAATTGGTGGGCAGGCCAGCTTGATCCTCTTCATCAGAGTGTGTTGCTGCAACTTTCTCTCTCTCTCTCCCTCCCTCTCCCTCCCCCTCCCCCTCCCTTTCCCTTACTCCCTCCCTTACTCTCTCTGAGACAGGATCTCACTATGCAGTTCAGGATGGCCCTGAACTCACCGACCATGTAGCCCACGCTGGCCTCAAACTCACATCGATCCTCGTGCCTCAGCCTCCTAAGTGGTAGATTTGCAGGTGTGAGCCACCACTCCAGGCTCTTACTTTCCAGTTGAAGCTTTGCTGTCCATACTGTCTATGTTGCTTTCATTCTAATTTTCATTAGTACCCACACTAGGTGGTATCAGGAGGGAGACACAGGTGAGGAGTCCTTGGGGTCAAGGGATGTGCCTAGGTGCCCAGGTACTCAGAATTCCCCACTCAACAGGCTCTGAACCCACTTCTCTTGGTCTTCTAGAGGGAGATTGTGTGACCAGCGTACATGCTTAAAAGGTGACCTGTTAATCAGCAACTGTTTGCAGAGACGTAAACAGATCTTGCACATGAAGAAAAGGGCCCACATGGAGATCCATAAGGGAAGAGAGGGACACCACGTGATGGCCTCAAGCTGGGCCGTAGTGAGCAACTTTCCAGGCCAGTGCCGAGGAATACAAGACTTTCAGACTTGAACTCGCCCTCCAAGATTATTACATCTGTCAAAGAGACTAACACATATTCTACTTAATGGTGTTAGCTTGATTTATAACTTTTAAATATTTAGACTTTTAAACACTAGAGGTATGTGGCCTTCCACATGAACTCCTACCCCAGATCCCATAAACACGAGGGGCAGGTCTGCACCTGGTGTCTAGTAGGAGGTGCCCAGATGTCTGCTGAAGCCAACAGCAGCCCTGGAGTTTCTGAGCGAGCAGTAACATGAGGACAAGGCTGGGGGATGGTTTACTCCCAGGCCCTGCCTTTTGCTCTGACTTGCTGAATGATCTTGGGACAGAGAGCCTCAGTTCCTGTGCCTTATATAGTACTGGAAATACATCCCATAACATAGTGCGAATACCTCATTTTTCAAGGGAGGAAATTGAGGCCCGGAAAGGTGAAGCAATCTGTCGCCCAGGATGACAGGTGAAGGTGGAACTAGGGCCCGGTCCCCCTGCCTCTCTGGTTTTTCTAGTACCCTAGCAAGACAAGGACACAAACAGCCATGCCTGACTACCTGCGTAGAACAGGATGGGGCGGGGTGACCACTCTGGGTCCTGCCAGAGACACCTAGTCTGTCTCAACGGAATCCATCCTGTGGCTAAAGCACAGGACTCCTCGTTCTTTATTCGCAACCTTCT